AAAAGAATCGCATCGTTGCTCGGGCGATGCTTCTTCCAGCTGCCAACCTGGGCTTGGTTGGGGGGGAAGGAGGGGGCAGTAGGCAGACCCTCTCAGGGACCCCCAGCCTCCTCCTGCAATTTCCTCATCAATAAAATAGGAGGAACCCCTATTTTATTGTTTCCCACGGGGTTGTCCTAAGGATTAAATGAGCAGCATGGCAACCGTTCCTGGTACAGTGCCTGGCACGCGCAGGCCCTCAATACATGGCAGCCTCCTTCTGTCCCCCGGCACTTTGGAAATGACAAAGGAAAGAACATTGGGTGTGGAGGAGGGGAGAGGAAGAAGGGAGAGTCAGACCTGGCTTCACTTCCGCCTTGCTGTGTGACGTTGGCTAAGTGACCTCCCCTCTCTGGGCCTTCTGACTGTCTTTGCATAACCTCCATAGAGGTGAGCACCTTTGTACATTAACAATAAGAAGGCGGGCACAGAGGGCTTTTCTGTATTGTCCAAATTCCCCACAATGAATCCCTGAGGCGGCACGGCGTGGGGGAGTGACAGTCACCGCCCAGGCCGTGCGTCAGACACACCCTGGTTCACAGCTGGCTCTGGCGCGGACCAACGGTGTGACCCCAGACAAGTCACGTAACCTGACCGAGCAAAGGTGGCCGACCTCCCGATATCCCAGGACTGAGGGTGTCCCCAGGATGTGGGGGCCGAGTGCTAACACCAGGAGAGTCCCGTGGCAAACCAGGACGCGTGGTTGCTCATCGTAACAGCCTCCGCTTCCTCTTCCACAAACTTTTGAGGGTTCACAAAGCTCCCTGCCGGTTGTCTCCCCACCAGAATGTCAGGAGAGCGGGGACTTTTGTCCACTGCTCTGTCCCCATGGCCTCGAACAGTACCTGGCCCGTAGCAAGGACTCATGAATGAATGAGTAGATGAATGAATAGAGTTCTTAGAGGATCAAAAGAGAAAATACAGTGGGGCCTTGACTTACGAGTGTCCCGACTAACGAGTTTTTCGAGATACGAGCCGTCTCTCGGCCGATATTTTTGCTTTGAGTTGTGAGCTAAAATTTGGGTCACGAGCCAGCTTCAGATACCCCACCGCTAGTTGGCGCAGCGAACGTCACAGTGAACCCACAACATCAGCCCAGCATCACGTGTCTCTCACTCGTTCACTTTTTGATTTGACATACGAGTAATTTGAGTTACGAGCTCCGTCACGGAACGAATTAAACTCGTAAGTCAAGGCCCCACTGTACTTGTAAAGCGCTAGGCAGCTCATAAATTAAACCGGTGATTATTGTTGTCCCTAGTTCGCAGCTGAGGCTGGGAGAGAGCAAGGCTATTAGAAGTCACAGCAAGAGTTGGAGGAAGGCGGGGCGGGGGGGGGGGGGGAGCCCAGTTCTGCTTTTTCTAGGGCCCAAGTTTTTCTCATTCTCATGTCACCTAGAAAACCAGTGAGTAATTGAGGGGGGAAAGGAGCTGCTTATATAATAGAATTGTGTGCGATGAGAGAAGAGAGTGTCTGAAAACCCTTAAGAGGTTTCTGGGCAGGGGAAAAAGGCTTCGAACAGAAGCAGAGCAGGCACATGGCACGTCTCAGATAACAAGCAAAGCCTCCGGGTAGATGTGGTGTCCAAGGGGAGGGGGGGAGTCCCAGAGTAACTTCCGGTACCAGCTGGCCGGATAAAGGGACAAGTCACAGCGCGGGGCTCAGTTCCTGCAGTATGTAAAATTCTAAAGGTGAGCAAGACGTCCTCACGCAGATGGGGAAACTGAGGCTCAAAGAAGAGGAGGGACTCAGCTGAAGTCACACATTTGTGAAAAAAGACTTGTGGGCCTTAGCCAGTGTGACTCGGTTGGAGCGTCATCCCATGTAGGGGTCAGGTCACAGGTTTGATTCCCGGTCAGGACACTTGCCCAGGTTGAAGGTTCAACCCCCAGTCGGGGCACATAGGACAGGCAACCGATGGATGTTTCTCTCTCACATCGACGTTGCTCTCTCCCTCTCCCTCTCTCAAAAACCAATAAAAGGGGGGGAAAAAGAGGAACAACTGTAATAATCTGAACAATAAAGATTTAATTAAAAACAAAATAAAACAAAAAACCAATAAAAACATATTCTCGGGTGAGTATTAAAAAAAAAAAGATTTGTAGGGTCTTGAGGTTAAAAAGACCCCGTGAAAGGCGGGAATAGGTCACATTCAGAAAAGAACCACAATGTGGAGAGAAACAGCAATGTCAGCCGCTGCTAGTTTTTCAACTCCTAGGATTATGCTGAGAACTTTGCATGCACGATCTACCTTAACCTTCCACCCACCCTTGGGATGACCATTGTGCCCATTTCACAGAGGAGGCAACTGAGCCTCAGACAGCCCCCGGTAAGAAGCAGGGCCCAGGCCAGCCTGACTCACAAGTAAAAAATCTGAAGGTCAAACAGGTGAAGGGATACCCAATGTTTTAAAGTCCTACACCGGGGGGAAAAACCCCACATAAAATACAACAATTGCAGGAATGTTCAGTGTGTTGGTGATAGGCACAGAAGTGAAGAGAGACTATGCATGTCCTAAATCAATGATCTTAATAAAGTAGGTGAATCAGATTGGACAGTGATTACCGTAACTTTGTGTGTGTGTGTCTAATTATAATGTCTATTTAAGGATGGAGCAGGAAGGGAACCATTTTGGTCATCTGCCACTTGCCAGACACATGTAGATGCAGTATAGACATCCTCTCACTTAATCCTCTCACCTGCTCCAGAAGATTCTACAGAAGTGAAACTGAGGTGCAGGGAGTGAAAGCCACGCTCCCACCGTCACCCAGCCAGTGTGGGCCAGTGTTCAGACCTGCGCTTTCTGCACCGTGCAGCCGGCAATACATGGACACCGACCCTTGCTGCTTGTCCTGTGTTTCTTTGCTAATCGGCTCCCTTTTCCCTAGAAAGTGGCTGGAGGCAGCTCCTGCCTTGGGTGGCCACATGTGCGCAGCCAAGACTAGGAAAGATCGTCCTGAAAAAAATCAGCAAGTCCCGGGGAAGGGATTTGAATGAACATTATTAGCTCCTCCAAGTTGCGCCCTAGGGCTACTTCTAATGACGTTGATGTTTTCAGAATTTATATTGAAAATGGAACAGATTTTATAAATGCTTGACAGCCAAGCTACCAGCTCCCCGCCCCCCCAAATAATAATGGCCATGTATTGAGGACTTGCTGCATGGCCAGTTCTATGCTAAGCACTTTACATCAATCACCTGTTTTAACCCTCAAATCAACCCTGTAAGAGGTGAGTTAGGATCCCATCTTCCAGACGAGGAAACAGAGGCTTAGAAAGGCGAAGGCGCTTACCCGAGGTCCCGGCCCGACTACAAGGCTGTCACCTGCCTCCGGCTCTAAAGTGGAGCCTTCTCTGTTGACACCGGGAGAACATGAGTTCTACTGCCCACCCCCCACCCAAAAAAAAAGAACACCCCCACTCACCGGGTGTGCCAAACTTCTGGAGAAATGAGGCAGCTGCTGTGGGTGCAGGGTCCTGTCTCCTAAGGGGAAGCTCCTGATTTCTGGGGTGTCCTGTCCTCAGTCCTCTGCCCGCCAGCCGGGACTGGAGCTCAGGGTCAAAGTCCGGAGTTATAGACAGGGCGCAGCTTGGCGCTGTGCTGCTGGCAGGGGCTGGACCCCCCACCCCCTCCCCTCACTCCCAGTCCCTGAAAAGCTGCCTGACTTTTCTGGCTGATCCCAAGGCCCTGTGTCCAGGCCTCGGTGGAAGGAGGGGGGCAGGCGGGTGATCTTGGAGGGGTGAGGGCACAGCCGGCGTGTCTCCCGGGCCAGCTGGAGGCGATCCTCTTTCTTCTCTCTTTCTGCTGCCACCCCGGGGGGAGGGAGGGTCGTTTCCTGGCCTGCAGAGGGTGGTAGGGGTGGTCATCTTGGCAGCGCCGGAAGGGAGGCCAGAGGTACTGGACAGGGCTCCCCGGGCCAGCCGGCCAGCCCAGTGCCATTCTGGGACGCTAGGTGGATGAGGCCAAGAAGAGACCACGAGGATACTCTTTGCTCGGTATCCCAGGGACACTAGCAGCAGGGCTCCAGGTCCCTCCTCTGCAGGGCTAGGCCTGGAGCGGTGGTTATTAAAGCCCAAAGGTCATCGGGCACCTCGCTGAATGGATGGGGAGACTGAGCCCCAGAGAGAAGAACCAACCAGCCCTCGGGGAGGCATCGTTTGGGTCAGTTTTGAAGGACCAGCCTCTACTTGGCCCCTACCCTCAGCATCATCAAATAAAAAGGTGAAGGTGAGCATCGGCCCTCGGACTGAAGGGTTCCGGGTTGGATTCCAGTCAAGGGCATGTACCTTGGTTGCCGGTTCCCCGGCCCTGGTTGGAGCGAGTGTGGGAGGCAACCAATTGATGTGTCTCTTTTACATTCATGTTTCTCTCTCTCTCTTCCTCTCTCTCTCTCCCCCCTCCCCTCCACTTTCTCTAAAAATCAATGGAAAAACAAAACAAGGCACCCTGGATTTTATCTGGTGACCCCTCACACAGGCAGTCTGTACCCAGAGCTCGAGCACCAGGCCACCACACTAGAGAGCTTAACTGGGTGGGAACAGTGAAAGGTCGCAGGGACCACACAGGGACTTCCCACACGGCAGGGCTGGGTGTGGGCTGTGGTTTCAGAGAGTCCTGTGCTGTATGTGAAAAGCATATTCGGTATTGTTATTTAATTTTGGAAAATGAGGTGCAGGGACACCCATTGTTTTCGTGATACAAAGCACAGAAAGTAAAGTTCCACAGTATATTCTTGGCTATTGGATTAAGATGTCCCCAAGGAGGCGTGTGCAATTTTTAAAATCTTTATCAGAAGAGGGCATGAGATAGAAGAAGAAGAAGAAGAAGAAGAAGAAGAAGAAGAAGGAGGAGGAGGAGGAGGAGGAGGAGGAGGAGGAGGAGGAGGAGGAGGAGGAGAGGAGGAGGAGAAGA